GCTGGACTGACAATGATATTTAAATTCTTCAGGGGAAGCATTCCCAGGGCGGGTGCAAGGCAGGTACCCGGGTACCTGCCTTTTTTACCCCAAATGTTGACACCCACACCCACACCTGTTTCCGGGTACCTGCTTTGGTAAATAGGTACCTGCAAACAGGTACTGGGTACCCACAAACCGGTACCTGCTGACATCTCTAATTTTTCAGCAAAAACAAGCAATTCTTTCATGCAGCAAAATTATTTTTTTTGCCCAGATTGACATAGGTGTGTTTACCTCACCAATGTGTCCAACAAGGTAGCTGATGAATCTCAGCTAACTCAACCCCTAATCCCAATTCATGTGATTGTTGTCATGGGTATAGGTGACAGGAACAACAAAAGATCTTAAGCTGAATGAGTTTATACATCCAGGTTATAGCTGTGCACAACACTGCATGAAAAAGCCATGCAACTGTGCATTGACATGCAATTTTTTACAAAAGGCGCACTTGTAAGATTGCATGGCAACTTTGAACAGGCAACTTTTTCTTGCAGTGTAAGGTGCTGCTGGGGCAGTGGTTTTCTTTGCACAGCACTTGGGCAGCAGAGCAGTGCAGATGAGCCTCTGATGTTGCAGCAGAACCTCAGACCTCCGAATGAACATAAGTAGTGTAAGTAAGCCAGATGGCTTCTGGCACAAGGGCATGTATATTTTTCTCAGAATGTCTCAAGCCTTTTGAGCTATGAAATTTCAGTTGGATGAACTGTTGCAGAGAAGCACATACACACGTAACTGCTGTTACTTCGCAATTTATACATCATGAGATGAGATGGGGCAATTGACAGCAACATAGTTACTTACTCAGTGGAAAGCAAAACAAGGTATCGCTGATACTACTTGACACCCTCACAAATGAGCGGGTCATGATTTCACCGCCATGTTCTTAACATGTCATTTCTTGAACGTCATGTGGGACATTTTTTTCAATGACAAAACAAGACAAAAACCATTAATTGTTTGTTTAGACTTCAGAATGAGTAGCAAATTGATGTTTTTGGTTTCAGATCAACTACTCCAATGATTGATCTGATAGGTTCAGTAATGGGTACATATACTAGTGTTAGTTGGAAGGTGGTTGCTGCAAATTCTTCACATATCCATGTATGTCTCAGTCGCTGTCATCATCACTCTCGCTATCACTTTCGCTGCTAGAGCTTGCGTACTCGACCGGGCCAGCAGGAGGAGGCGCGCTGGAGTTGAGCCCGAGAGCTGGATTCGCCGAGGACACGCCGTTAGAGTAATTAGGATGCTGAGGTTGGGGATCGGTGACAGCAGAAAAAACATCAAGTTTATCTGTCAGAGCCTTTATACTGGCTGTGACCAGACTTTCGTCAATACCCTTGCGTTTTGGAGGGCCTGGAATACTGGCACGGGGTTTCTTGACTTTCGGCTTGGTACCATGTTCGTGTCCATTTGAAACATGAGCGTTAGGATACTGGCTGATGGAGGCCGGCTCAGCATGTGGACCACCCGAGACTTGCGAGACTGGTGCTGCGTATGAAGGCATTGGGGTCGGCATAGACTTGCGTGTCACACCCGGCCCTGCCTTGCGACCACCTTTTGGTTTTCCGTTGGAAGCAGCGAGTTTCGGCTTCTTAGGCTTGGCTGGTGGTAAGAGGGGAACACAGACAAGTTGATAAAGTTGGTATAGAGTATGATCGTCCAAAGCGTCAATGTCAAGCTCAATTTCCTCTCCATCGGCCTGGTTAAGTCACAATAAGCGCATCAGAAATCCCAAAATTGTAATTTATAACAAATCATCAAGCAATGGTAAACTCACGGCAACCAGGTCGGGACGACTGTTGCGGATCAAATTGATGGCATCGGACGTGCGTGGGTTCCACAGCGTTTTGAATTTGAAGGTCCTAACTGCTTCTTCTGTTCGTAATC